TTTTTTTTTTTTTTTTTTCAGACAGGGTCTCACCATACAGTTCAGGCTGGCCTCGGACTCACTTTGTAGCCCAGGCTGGTCTCGAACTCACAAGGATGCTCCTGCCTCAGCCTTCCGAGTGCTGGGATTGCAGTATAGAAGTATTTTAATGACGCTGTAGCAGGAAGAAGTAGGGAGAGTTTGAGAGCATTTACCAATGATTTACTAATCACCAGGGACCACGGAGCTGTGGCGAGGGCAGGCACGAGATCGAGTTTCCAGGGTAGGAGAAACCACTCTAACCATCACCTAGCACCCACTCCACACACAGCTTCGCTTACCCAGTGGAGGCCACCCGGGCTGGACATCCTAGTATACAGAGGTCTGAAACTGAGAAGGAGCGGGGCGAAAAAGAGGTTTGAACCGAGTTAAGGCCGGCCGGGACCCTGTCCTTGGTGCAGAGAAAGGTGAAAGGTGACCCTCCGGCCTGTTTTTCCCTCAGCTGCCTGAAGGGGTCAGGCGAGAGGAAGCTTTCCCGGGCTGCTGGAGTTGCGTTCCCAGCTGTTACCCTGGAAACTTCTGTTTTTAAGGCTACACACCACACACGTTCACACGCTCAGTTAATTAGTCATAAGTTCCTAGAGACCGTGTGGGAAGTGAGCGCAGCTGGAACTGGTTAGTGAGCAAGCAAGTGGGAGGGGCTTGGGGATGACTCAGGAAGGGGCCGCGCACTCTGCCCCCCCGGCGCCCCCGGCGCTGTGCGCGCTTTCCGGCGCTGCCGCCTATCCACGGCCGCGCTCACGCTCACCTACTGCACCCCTGGCCTGAGTCAGGTCTAAGGAGAGGCCATCAGACGCAAATCCTGAGCTGCTTCAGCTCCTGCCAAAGTCTGGGGAGACCAAAATCTGACCCCCTTTTTCAGTTTATAGAGAGAGGAGTTTTCCCACGGGATGCTGCCGGAAACTGCTAGAAGCCTCTTCTGGGGGTCTCACGACACAGCACAATAGCTGCTTCGTGGAAGAATAAATCCTAGCTGCTGGAAGGCGGAGGGGACCGGCGTGGCAGTGCTTGCTTGGCTACTCTCGGCTACCGGGACGAAAGGGAAGTGATAGCGCAAGGGAGTCTGCTCCTTCTGGAAACAGCAGCCGTTTAATTAAAAAAAAAAAAAAAAAAAAAGATTTTTATTGCTTTACCGAGCAAGGTGCGAGGCGGGGGAGTACTCTGGCCTCCTGTCCTCACTGTAGCCCCAGGAAACAGATCTGCCCTGACGTCTGGCAAGTGCCAAGGGCCTGGAAAAATCTGTTCGGCTCGCTTTTCTGTTGACAAAGGCCTTGACAGGGAGTTGGCAGGGCAGGGCCCGGCACTGGCTTCCCGTTTTGAAGAGGGCCCTAACGAGGCGGGGAGGGAGGCCCGGGAGGGGCCTAGCTCAGGCCCTGCCCGCCAGCAGCTGCAGAGAGAGCCTTTGGGAGATTGGGCTCCTGGGGGGCGGATTTTAATTGAATTCATTAATTTCACAGTGGGAGAAGGGCTGACGGTCTATACAAGAACACACTGCACACAGTGAGGAAGAGACGGAAAGGATTTTAAAGTGCTAAAACGGCCCAGTGCCACTTAGAATTTGAGCTATGTGCAGCTTTTGCATGGTGAGCACACACACATACACACACACACACACGTGTAAAAGAAATGCTTTGGGGCTGGGGATTTAGCTCAGCAGCACAGTGCCTGCCTGGCAAGCGCGAGGTCATGAGTTCGATTCCTGGTACCAGAAAAAAAAAAACAAAAAACAAAAAATAAAAAAATAAGATAAAATAAAAGAAGTGCTTGAATGCCCGGCACGGTAGCGCACGCCTGTAATCTCAGCACTTGGGAGGCTGAGGCAGGAGGATCCTTGCATGTTCCAGACCAGCCTGGGCTACAAAGTGAGCTCAAGGCCAGCCTGAACTGCATAGCGAGACCCTGTCTCAACAAGGCCAAAAAAAAAGTGCTTGAAATGGGGCATAGGAAAAAGTAACTAAGAAAGAGTTGATCCGGAGGAAGACTGTAGTCTCAGAATTTTTTCCCCAGTACTGGGAATTGAACCCAGGGAGCACTGAGCTCTATTATCCCCAGCCCTTTTTATTATTTTATTTCAGGACATGTTCTTGCTAATTCACTAAATTACTCAAGCTGACCTCAAAATCAGGCTCCTCCTGCCTCTGCCTTTCTTCTCCTTCTCCTTCTCCTCCTCCTCCTTTTCCTCCTCTTCCTCCTCCTTCTTCTTCTTCTGCCTCAGCCCTTTGAGTAACTAGGATTATAAGCTTAAACTTTTCGCCCCAAATACCTCAA